GAGGAGGAGGAGGAGGAGAGAAGGAGGAAGGAGGAGGATAGCCGAGGAGGATGAAGGAGGATAGCCGAGGAGCCTGAGGAGGAGGAGGAAGGAGGAGGAGGCGGAGGAGGAGGAGGAGGCGGTAGAGGAGGAAGAGGAGGAGGAGGCGAGGAGGACAAGGAGGAGGAGGCGAGGAGGAGGACGCGAGGAGGAGGAGGATCAATCAATCAATCAATCAATCAATCAATCAATCAATCAATCAATCAATCAATCAATCAATCGGAAAAAAAAAAAGAAACAGTTAGCCAATCGAATCAATCGATTCGATTGGCTAACTGTTTCTCTTTTTTTTTATGATTAATTGATTGATTGATTGATTAACTGTTTCTCTTTTTTTTTTCGATTGATTGATTGATTGATTGATTGATTGATAGATAGATTGATCCGATAGTGTTTTTAAAAGTTTTTTTTTTCCTCGGTGGATTAACGAAAAAACAAACAAACAATTTGATTCGCGGTATGGGGCTGAACGCGTGATAGGTTGGACTTCGAGGAGGACGAAAGCTCCGACGAGGAGGAGGAGAGGAGGAGGAGGAGGAGGAGGAGGAGGAGGAGGAGGAGGCAAGGAGGAGGATGAGGAGGAGGAGGAAGGAGGATCGCCAAGGAGGAGGAGGAGGAGAGAAGGAGGAAGGAGGAGGATAGCCGAGGAGGATGAAGGAGGATAGCCGGGGAGCCTGAGGAGGAGGAGGAAGGAGGAGGAGGCGGAGGAGGAGGAGGAGGTGGTAGAGGAGGAAGAGGAGGAGGAGGAGGCGAGGAGGACGAGGAGGACGAGGACGACGAGGAGGAGGAGGCGAGGAGGAGGAGGCGAGGAGGAGGAGGATCAATCAATCAATCAATCAATCAATCAATCGAAAAAAAAAGAAGAGAAACAGTAAGCCAATCAAATCGATTGATTCGATTGGATCTTGATTTCAAAATCAAGATCCAATCGAATCAATCGATTCGATTGGCTGACTGTTTCTCATTCTTTTTTCGACTGATTGATTGATTGATTGATTAACTGTTTCTCTTTTTTTTTTTCGATTGATTGATTGATTGATTGATTGATTAATTGATTGATTGATTGATTGATTGATTGATTGATCCGATAGTGTTTTTAAAAGTTTTTTTTTTTCCTCGGTGAATTAACGGAAAAAAAAACCAAAAAAAATTGATCCGCGCGGTATGGGGCCGAACGCGTGATAGGTTGGACTTCGAGGAGGACGAAAGGGCCGACGAGGAGGAGGAGAGGAGGAGGAGGAGGAGGAGGAGCAGGAGGCGAGGAGGAGGCGAGGAGGAGGAGGAGGAGGAGGAAGGGCGCTGTGGGTTATCAAGGGAGAGTGTGGGTGAAGAGAGTGACGTACCTGGGTGGAAGAGGAGGTCGGCATTGGTGTTGACATCATCACTCGTTGGTCGTCAAGTTGTCTGGATGCTTTCATGCTGTAGTTGTAGGCTTAGTCTGTAGTGTAGATAGGGCGCCAGGCGCCATGCCAGAGAGAGAGCTACATTGAGTTATGTTGTTGGTGTTGCCCGATTGGGCATGGACATTGACTCACGATTTTGTTGTATCATTCGCAATTGGATGGTTACTTGGTTCCATTGGCTATCTGCTCTGGCTTTGACTACTTGGACTTCAATGTGATTTTGCAATTTGGATTACTGTGCTTCGTCGATATTCATGTTCCTTGCAGGAGGAGGAAGGAAGAGGAGGAGGAGGAGGCGAGGAGGACGAGGAGGAGGAGGCGAGGAGGAGGA